ATTATGTCAGAATTAAAACTCACCACAGACACCCTAATAGAACAGGTAAGTAAGCACAAACACCTGACTGACACCCACGATACATAGCCTACTGGAAGGCAGGCCGGTGGCGTGAATCTGTAGTCCCAGCTCCTGGTAGGTGAAGGCAGAAGGATTTTGGGTCCGAGGCTCAACATAGACTGTCTTTATTATTTTTAAATTTAATTCTTTTTGAGAGGTTTTTGCTATAGGGCATGTGTGCTCACCAGAAAGAGAGAGAGACAGAAAGCGAGAAATCACCCCCCGGGGGGATGGCCATGCTGCAGTCCCTTCCCCTCCATCCTCCTCTTGGGATCTTGGGCAAGCATGCACACGCACCTGGCATGAGTTTAAGCCACTTGGTCCGGGACTCAAACTGCGGTCGACTACATGGGAGTCCAGCGACCCAGCCATTATGCCAACTGCTGTTCCCCATAGACCGTCTTTAAAAAAATAACAAAGGGGCCGGCAGATGGCGTAGCCATTAAGTCACTGGACTCCCACATGGCAGACCACGGTTTGAGTCCTTTCAAGCCAGGTGCATGTGTGTGCATACCCAAATCCAGGGAGGAGAAAGGAGAAGAGATGATTTCTCACTTCCCTTCTCACTGCCTTTCGCCTTCCATGCAGCACACGTGCCCTAATGCAAAAACCTCTCAAAAAATAAAGGACAAGTAGGATTCAAGGCCTGGGAATAATCCCATCATTCTACCCTCTGGGCTGTGGGTGAGTCTTTGGAGTCATCCTTCCTTGTTAGTGAGGGTAGCGGTGCTAACAGCTGAGTGCTTTTATCAGCCCCTCCTGCCAGTGGTCTCAGTCCCTGCCATGCCCCCGTGCTCCCAGGTTGTGAGGGTAGTCTTACTTCCATCCTTCCGTGGGTGTAGAGAGAGCACTGTGGTTTTCACTTTAGTCCTTGGCTGCTGGCGAAGGGGCACACCTGGCCTGTGCTTGTTGACATTTCTGGGTGTCCTTTGTGAAGCACCTGCTCAAGTCTTTTGCCACTTGAAAGTTGGAATATTTGTGTGTTTTTATTACTGAGTTGTTAGAATTCTCATTTACCCATTTTATGTCCTAGAGATCAGTTCTTCTGGTCTATGGTGGACTATTCATTTTCTTATGAGAGTTTTTTTTTTTTTGCTATACAGCACGTGCGCTCGCTGGAAAGACAGAGAGACAGAAAGCAAGAAAATTTCCCCCAGGGGGTCTTGCCACGCCACAGTCCCTTCTCCTCCATTCTCCTCCTGGGATCTTGGGCACGCACGTACACACATGTCTCCCGGTGTGTTTAAGCCACCGGGTCCCGGATTCGAACCGCGGTCGGCTACATGGGAGTCCAGCAACACAGCCATTACGCTAACTGCTGGTCCCTTTTTTTTAGAGTTATTGATGAACAAGAGTTTTACCTTTTGGTATAGTCAGTTTACTGTTCTTTTATAGTTACTGTTTTCTGGGTCTTGTGTGAAAAATATTGGCAAAGATCTTCGTGGTGGTCTAGAAAGTTTATAGTTTTAGCTTTTATGTGTAAGCCTAAAGATTCATTTCTAGTTTTTGTGAATGGTGTGAAGTATAACTGATTTTTTTTTTTCAGTATAAATACCCAGTTATTCCAGCATTATTTGTCAAAATACCAGAGTGTTGTTTTGAAATGAGGATGACTGTATTCTTCTGTTCTCTTGATCAACTCTGTTGTCAGTACCGCAGTTTCCCTTACTGTAGCTTTATGAAGAGGTGCTATCTCCCCTTCTCTCTGTTTTTCCATCTCTCTGGTGAGTGCATATGCACTCACTAAATAAAATTTAGACATTTTATTGATCTAGTTTAGGCCACTACCCTAGTTTGTAATGCTAGATTATAAATACATGTATCATTTTTGGTTGAAATGTAATAATTTATGATCATCTAAATAGTTTTCTGCATTTTCATCATAATGTATGGAAGAAGATTAGCATGAAATTAGCCATAACTTTTTTTTTCTTTTGCCAGTGGGCGCATGCACTCTGGCAGAGAGACACCGAGAGGGAGAGAGAGAAAGCATCCCCAACAGGGTGAGGTCATGCCCAATCCTATCTCCATTTCTCTAAGCTGTTGGGGTTTGAGGTACGCATGCACATGAGTCTGGTGTGTTTTGCAAGCCACTGGGGCTAGGATTCAAACTGTGCTGATGGCCGTGTGGGATCTGGCCTCCTCAATTACCAGCTACATGGCTGGCCCAGCAATAATGAACATGTTTCTGTGCCAGTACCATGCTGTTTTGATTACCACAGCTTTGTAGTATATTTTGGGTTAGGGAGAGTTGTTGCCCACTCCACGCTTCTCGTGTACACATAATGTGTGCCAGGTATATTCTAATGTGCTTTCTTTCAGTGTTACCTTTTCTTTAGTTGCCAAAGGGTGTGTGCACTCACCATAGGGGAGAGAAAACCCCTAGTGGATTGTGGCCATGCTGCAGTCCTCTCTCCATTTTCCATCCTCTCAGAAGTTGGGATGTACATACACACGCCTAGCGTGTCCTTCCAGCCACCAGAAGCAGGATTTGGATCCCTGTTGACCATGTGGCAGACGGCTGCTGTGACCACTAGACTATGGGGCCAGCCCTCACAGTATCACATTTCACCTTTCCAACAGGCCCAGGAGATGGAGGCATTGTTATGACCTTTATTTCCTAATGAGTGTACATTATTTAGAAAGATTATGTGACTAAAGACCTCCACAAGGAAAACTACCAGAAACTAAAAGGAATTGAGAATGACATATAAAGTGGAAAGACATCCCATGTTCCTGAATTGGACGAATTAATGTAATCAAAATGACAACCCTACCCAAATTAATTTACATATTTAATGCAATCCCAGTCAAAGTACCAGAGACATTCTTCACAGATCTGGAAAAAACAATCATACAGTTTGTCTGGAATCATAAAAGACCTCATATTGCCAAAGTAATCCTGCACAAGAAGAGTGGAGTGGGCGGCACCTCACTCCCAACCCAAAAATATACTACAAAGCTGTGGTAATCAAAACAGCATGATAGGGCCAGCAGTTGGCGTAATGGCTATGTCACTGGACTCCCATGTAGTCGACTGTGGTTCGAGTCCTGGACCTGGTGGCTTAAACTCACGCCAGGCATTTGTGTGTGTGTGCCTAAGATCCTGAGAGGAGACCAGAGGAGAAGGGATTGCAGCGTGGCCGTCCTCTCTTGGGTGTGTGTGTTTGTGATTTCTTGCTTTCTGTCTCTCTCTCTGTCTTTCTGGCATGCACACGCGCCCTATAGCAAAAACCTCTCAACAAAAACAAAAACAAAAAAACCAGCATGGTATTGGCACAGAAACAGGTGGACCAATGGGACAGAATAGAATCCCCAGGAATAAACTCCCAACATACAGCCATCTGTTTTTTTTTTTTTTTTTTTTTTTTTTTTTTTAGGGTTTTTTTTTTTT